CGCCGCCGAGTCCGAGATCCACCACATCTTCAAAGAGGATGCTAAGTCTCCACCTAAGATCATAACGATTGTGTTCGCGGCTGCTGTTGCTGCTGCGCTGCCGATCCTTCTCGGTGTATGGGCTACACTGGGCGCGAACACCAGCCACCTGAGCAAGGCTCTGGGCAATGCACCCGTGTCGCACGGGCTGTTTTATGGCTCTATCCTGGCGATGGAGGGCATTTTCTTCCTGTACTACACCAGCTGGAACCTCTTCCAGACTCTGCCGGCTGCGGCCGTTGTAGGAGTTGTTGCTTTCCTGAGCGGTAGCCGGGCTTTGTCTGAGGTCCAGGAGCGGAGGCTAGCTGGGCAAAGATAAACAATACGGAGACTGGAATATGTACTTGTACGACATGGGAGGATATGCCAGAAGTCGAAGAGCAAAAAAAGTTGGTTTTTGAGGCAAGGCGCTAAAGGCCAAGGCACCATAGCACATAGGATACGGGTATGATTGAATCCGAGAACATGAAGAATGATTGCCGTCGCAACAATTGTTCAATACTCAGGCGATGAGTAATGAATTCACCTTCATGTTGGTGTTGTTTCAAGCGTGTGCAACATGATTCCTGTACACAGAGAAGCTCTGGGGGCTCCAAAAATGTAATGGATGCGATTGGCTGACATTGATACATTCTGCAGCACACCTCGATGGAAGGCGCAGTCCGGCTCAGCCGCGACTTGGCTCGCGCCTGCACTAATCAACTGCGATGACCGACACGAAGTTCCTTCTACTACTTGTCATGCTTATTCCAGCAGCAACCCGGCTTTCGCACCATGGCATCCTCTTCACCGCACGATCTCGGAGAAACTGACACTGATTCCGATCATTCTACTATCCTTTCTAACTACGTTATTGGCGTCTCAGATACTGAGAGCGATTTATCGGACGGAAATGGTAGCCTTGTCGACAAGGCTGGAGTAGTAGATCATGGTCGTATCACCATTGAAGACTGGTCACAGACTGGGAGAGGCGTCCATGTTGATTTTGACGATAGGGAAACGGTACCTCTGACACAAGGTATGTTTTGTACGAAGTTCAGCAAACTAACAGTTCGGAGCTGATCATGACCAATAATAGGCCAATTTCTGGGCCGAGGTGCTACAGGAGATGTCCACGAAACAACTGTACAGGGACGGAAGCTTGCGCACAAGAAGATATACTTCACCCGAAGAGTGAAAGAGATCGAGAAAAAGGAGATATCAATCCTTACGAAACTGGTCCATGTTCATATTACACAGTTGATTGGCACATATACCCAGAAAAAGATATTGGGCGTGCTTATGTATCCAGTGGCAGTATGCGATCTGCATACGTTTTTTGAAGACGTTGAGGCATGGTCAAACGTAGCTCCTACAGAGAAGCAGCCCGGATTAGAAGCGGATTCCATGGATTATATCCATAGGTCGCGACTCGAAGAGCTCAGCTACAATTTCCCCGCGAAAAACGAACAGCACAAAGCTGAACTGGTATACTCGAAAATAGGCTGCTTGATCTCAGCCGTTGCATACTTGCACGACCAGAAAATTCGTCATAAGGACCTTAAGCCTTCCAATATCTTGTTGTCCGGTGAGAAAATCTGGTTAAGCGATTTTGGAAGCGCTACAGACTTCACGCTCCTTTCGCAGAGTGCTACAAATAACGAACGCGGAACACCGCGCTACTTTGCTCCAGAGTGAGTTTCAACCCCAGCATTAACAGCGTAACATTAACATGAACTACAGAGTTGCCGACTGGAAACCTAGTGGAAGAGCAGCGGATATGTTTTCCCTTGGATGCGTCCTTGTCGAAATACTGTGCTTGCACCGACGTGGTTCACTAGACCAGATAAGGAAGAATCGATCGGCCGATCCGTCCTTTCATGCCAACATCGGCGAATTGTCCTCATGGCTGCAAAACCGCGACGACAAGTTTTCACGCGAAGTGTATTACCTTGAAGGCGAGATCAGGCTCATGCTTGCCGTGAATCCCGCAGAGCGACCAACAGCATCGGAGCTTTTGAGTAGTGTCACATTCTACGATATGTATGGGCATGAAACTCCGGCATCCTCTATTTTTGGTAGTTGCTGCAAGAGAAAGTTCATTTCCTCCAAAGAACATACAGCAGCAATTGAAGAGTTGCAGCAGATAAATAAGAACCTGGAGAAAAACAACGAAAGGAGATTCAAAAAGACAGTACGAGCACATTTGGCTTCGTTGACAGATATCAGAAAGGCTCACAACGCCGAGATCTATCAGCTGCAATGTCGATTCCGGGATGATCTCATCGAGAACTCTACTAAATACGAAGTACAGTTAGACGATTTAAGGGCAGAGTCAGAAACTCTGCGGGCAGAGGTAGAAGCTTTGCGGGAAGAGAAACGTACTCTGAGGAGACGATATGATCAACCGCTACTCGACAGGCGATTTCCACCTGTATCCAGCTCACCAATTCCGAACAACCCACCTCCTCAAAAAGAGAGGCCCCCATACGATGCTCGGTGGCCAGCAGGGTCCTTCTCCTCCGATCGTGTCGAAGTGGATCACGATGATCAGTATAGCTCAAACTATGCAGAAACTTCTCAGTATGTAGACAGAAGCACGACCCCAGTGCCAGAGTCTTTCCATGATCCCATCCCTGAGGAGACGATCTCTGACACATTGAGGCGAGTACCGACTGTAGTTCTGCGTAGCCCAATGCCGACGGCTTTGAGCGCAGAAATTGTTCGAGAAACTACCGGCCCATATGATGAAGAGGATGTTTCTGATGACGACCAGAAACCAGCAAAACCATCACTCCGTCATCGTATTGCTTCCGGACTCGGACTCAAAAGATCCGGAACAAACCATGACAACGTTGATGCGATGGGTAGGCTCGGGTGATGGAACAAAACCCAAGACATGCAGAGATGGATTTGTTACGTTAACATTACTCAAACCGATATATGGGTGCTTCGTACAAAAACGTCTCTCTACTAAACCCAATTCATCAACCCATCGACGTTCTCGCGCCCCACGATGCCCTCATCAACCATCTGCTCCAAAACCCTTGGTACATCCGCAGTCCTCCCCTCCCAAGTATCCTTCGTCATCTCCGAGCCACTCGCCACCGCCTTCAGTATCTCAGCCACAACCGCTTTGGCATCTGCCGTGCTCCGCACTCCGAGTACACCAGCTTTCTCCGCATAGCTCCTGCCTCCTCGGTAGAAGACACCAGCGTTGGAAACCAAAGTCGGTCCGCTCTTCGCCCAAGCTGGCTTCGCACCCTCGAAGAGCGAGATGCGGAAGCGGAACAGGTCGGTATCGCCCCTTGCTATGAAGACATCGGCCAGCCGTGACGGGGATAAAATAGAGGTGTATGGTGCGCCGGATAGTTTGGTGAGCAAATTTTGGGTCTGCGTAAGAGCTGTCCATTGTATCTCGACGTCTGTGCTGAATGTGGGTTCCGATGGGGTATATTGGGTGCCATCTGCTAGTGCTGAAGCGAGATCCATGAGCGCATCGGCATATGCAGACTGTACGTTGATGGCTGCGAGATCGGGACTCGCGTTCTGCGTCGCAGTTTGTACTAGACTGCTGAATATCTGCTCTACAGTCCCGGCGTACTCTGTCGATGTTGTTCTGCCACTGCGGTATTGCATCTCCGCAACGCTAGCTTGGAAGTTGGCAGCCGCGAGTATTGCATCGTCTTTGGGTGTTGTGGTTGCTTCTTCTGGCGCGGATATGGACAGTGTTGGGCCTGCTTTGGGCTCATCGACGGCTTTCGGAGCGGGCGACTTCTCGACAAGGTCTATAAGTGTTGGGATCTTGTTTATGGCTGTATCTATCCCGTCCTGTGCTTTCTTCTCTATACTTGATAGATCTGTGGCGGGGTTGTATAGTCCTAGTAGTGTCGTTAGGGTACTGAGCTGAGCTGTGCATGTCTCTAGGATGCTTGTCGGTGTTAGAGGTTCTTCAACAGTAGCCCAGTCACCCGGCGCTTCAGAAGCCCCTGATTCAGTCTCCATGTCTTGTTCCTGAGTCTCCGCTGGCTGTTGACGTTCACCCTCCCAAGCCTCCTTGTACTCCCCTGAGGCTTCGATCTTGGCAATCTCGGCCTGCATCTGAGAGTACTCTTGCTGCTGGCTCTCTAAGCATTTTGTGAGGATATCAAACGCCTCCTCAAGCAACGGTCTCGCGTCTTGCTTTCCGGCTGCCGGTGAGCTGGCTTCCAAACCGGCCTCTGCTAATGAGGTAAGTACTTGCGCAGCGTTGAAAAGAATGTCGGTATTTGTGGGGTTTAGTGAGATTGCGTAGCGATGCGACATCAAGGTCTCTTCTAACAGCGCAGTTCTGTTTCCGAAATGTGGGATGATGCGCTCATCTTCTGAGATGGTGTATTGTAGGTTCGCTCTAGTACCATTAGCATTGAGTGAACAAGCAGGCACCGCGACGACTCACTTGTTGTAGGCAAGATCGAATGATTGAGGATGACGCTTTAGGCCCTCATTATACGCATCTATCGCTCGGTTAAAGAAGCGAACAGCCTTCGCGGCGTCTCCTGCGCGCCATTTGCCTGCCGCCTGTTCGAATTCGTCCGCAGCCTCAAGGAAGTCGTTCTCAGTCTCCGGCTCCGGCGGCTTCACCTTGCCCTTTGGCTTCGGCTTTACGAATTTCTTCGGCGGCATACTGATGATCGGACGTAGTAGTGAAAAAGTTGATGCAGCGGTAATCTAGAAAGTGGTGTTGTTGTAAACTCAGGTATGCGCAGGTAACCGATGTTCAAGTGGCAAATTTGCGCAATTGTGTCTGACGATTGCTAAGCAATTGTAGTGTAGTGCGCAGAAAGACGACTTCCAAGGTTGTGCGCAAGCCTTGATATAACAGCACCTGCTACCAGTGCATTCCTTCCCGACGTGTTGGCTGCACCAAAACTTTCTGATTGATCGCCCCGCCCCCACTTGCCTCAGCCTCGCGAACGCGACTCTCCACGCTTCCATCACAATTACTTCAACTTTTCCACGTCAAAATCATCCCACAGCAATGTCTTATCGACCAAGAATCCATCTTCATCAAACGAGACCCCTTCTTCATTCAGTAGCTGCAGCTTCGAATCCTGGTTCTGGCCGCTGGGTGCTTTCTCCCAGTCACCCTTGTATCCGCCAACGAACTGTTCAATCAGTACTGGAACTCACACACAGATAACGACAAACGTACACCAGTACTGGCGATACACCGATGACATGGTACCTCTGGACAGAACGGGTTGACGCGCAGTGCACCACCCACCGCGCGAGGAGAGCTGTTTAAAGCCTTTGAGATGGCTGCATACGTCGTGACGCGACCCTCTGGGATCATCTGAAGGGCTGTATAAACGCGCTCCTGGTATTGAGTAACCTTCTGCTGTTTCGACATGTTGACAGTTGAGATGTGGTTGCATCGACGCGTCCTCCAGCGATGTTGGTTGATTTGGCGCGCGATCACGTGACGTGCTCTCAAACTGACCAACCAAGTGTCAGGACATGTCAGCCACCCTTATCATGTGTGCTACAGATCTTTGAAGCAGAAGAGATGGTGAATGTAGGCGGCAATTGCATTAAGCTTGCAACACAGCAAACCTCCGCCGGAAGCTCTTGTGAACACTGCAAAATGAGCGGAGGTGTGTCGAAGCGTACTCTAGAAAAAAGAAAAGAGATCTAACGAAACAAATGCTCATGAGACGCATCACGCGCATACCAGAGAATGGTACTACAGGACATATCCTTGGCCGTTGTCTCAGTGCCTACGATCGCTCACATTACGACCAAGGAAGTCCCCGTCACATCCCGGAATTCCAGCTCTCCAAGAGACTTTCCGTGATCAAGAGACACACAAGATACGCAATGAGTCAACGCCGGCATCGGAGCCTTTTCTGAGGATGATATAGGGCATAGGAACGAACTGTGTGGACTCACCCGTGTGATCGACCTCCTCACTTCGCACAACACACTTCAAAAGGATACACGCCCGATGAACGGCGACTAGCAGCGTTGCGAGGCGTTAATACTAAGAGTCACACTCGCCGACTGCCCTTTGGTCTCACAAGTGTCTCCGAACGGCTCAACGACCAGCCCGGTCCAGTATCTTTAAGTTTCGCACTAGACAATCATCATCACTCTCGCACGGTCACTTCGCAACGACTTGCTCAAGATTGGTACCGCAGCGGGCCGAGCTCCACCACAGCTCACAGGGCTATACAGCACTTACGCCAGATGATTCGCAGAGGTTGAAGTAACCGCGCCGTGCCGCCCTCCCTTACCTTCTCTGCTCGATTCAACTAACGGGTGCGGCCAGAGCATGAACCTGGACGGGGTCACCATGGCTGATGGGCCCGCAGTGGTCACTGCCTTACAAACGCAGATTGTCACCGAAATATGTCATATCTTTGATCAGTCGGCGGCTATCAAGAGCTGGTGTTTGGATCGCAACCACAGCCTAAGTGACTAGGACGGACCTAGAAGTCAGGCATTGCGACATCAGAAACTAGTAACGTCAAACTGTGTCTGGCACTGAATCGGTTTTGGCCAGATGTTCTAGACTCGACGACGCTGACGTATGTGTTGAGGTATGCAATATCTCTTTGGGTCCACCAACAACGTTACGACAACCTTTCAGGTGCAGTGAACAGGATACCAACATCTATGCTGATTAGGATCATCGGAAAATCACATCGGTCAAGCTTCGTGTCGCAATCATGGATGGGCAAGTGGTTTGCGCGGATGAGGCCTCTGAACCCCCTGCTTGTAGCCGCTGCAAGTGACAGCGTTGAAAGCCGGATTCCATCTCTCATTGGCAGTCGTCCTTCACCAGACTCTTCTCTATTCAGTAAGGCGTCGTCACATGACCGTCAAGTGCGGTGGCTACCCGTTTTTCTCACATTTCGCACATTTATGGCGTGCGAATGAGCGTGCAGAACAGGGATCACCAGGTGTAGTGGGATTAGGCGCGACCTGGGCAGTGGGACATGGCCGACAGAAAGCGGCCCTGCCCCCGAATCGTGGATGAGACCGTTGCGATTAGCAGAAGAGGATATTTTCGCCATCGTAGAGAAAGGTCAGGTTGTAATGATCTTGATGGCTCGCGACCTACGAGGCTTTTGATGCGTTGTCACAGTGGCGAGGGCGATCGGCTGCTCAGCCTCAAACTAAGAGCCGAGTTGATGCACTTAGCCACATCTCAGCTTGCCAGAAACGGGCCTTCCGGCTGGACGGCATAATGCCACAACCCCAGAAGCGCATCTGCAGGATTTTTCGCCAATGCATGAAAGTGGTCACGAGAATAGCAACAAGAGTTGCAGGAACCGTTGGACGTGCATTCGCGAAAATCGCTCAGAGCAGCATATGACTCTTCTGCATGGGCAAGCCGCCTGTTGCCCTGCGGGTCCTGATTGAACAGTCAGACAACCCTCGACGGTAAAAGGCTTCTCAACGAATGTGCGCTCTGTCCTGTTCAAGACAGGTGCATGCGAGCTCCGAGTGCCTGTATCGGTCCTTCTCGAGTGCGATAGAGTATTCGATGGCTGATCATCGCGTGCTTTGGAACAGCTGAGGATAGTTGGAGGCATACTATTGCAGCTGGAAGCGCAGTTTTGCAAACGAGTATCGTCGCGACTTGACGGGCGCACATATAGGCCTCTCGCTAAGCTTGCAGCCTCAGCTTCTCATGATGCCAGCCCTGTCACGAGACGAGCGTGGAAAATTGATAGCAAACACGAGGCTTCTGGTAAGGGTTGCTGAGTATCTGAAACGGCATCAAGTTGGTGGGTAAACGACGAGTAGGGGTAACCTGACAGCCAATTGGGCATTCCGCTTGGCTGGCGCCGCACAAGGTCTGTCTACGAATCGTCACCCACCATGGCCATCCAGCAACTCAACTGGCTGCCTTCTTTCATCAAGCCAGAGGCCTCCACCCGCCTATCCAAGCGCAAGCGCCCGTAATAGCCCACCATGTCTCCGTGCCGGACAAGCCCAACTTCGCAAGGCCGCCGGCGCCGGTTCTTTGCGATCAAGTCTACGCGTCGTGATGCGTCCGTCGCGACGTTATACATATGCAAGCCTACGCACCCCGCAACCGCAACAAGCGTCGAATCGCTCCTAACCAACAGATTGCGACGTTGAGCCTGCCAGAAACACTACACTATCGCATCAGCCAGGCCTACCTCGTTTGAGCATCTGGACTGGTCCTCCGTTCTCGACACGGCTCACCCGCGAAAGCCCCACTGAGGCGACTTAGGGTGCAAGCCCCGCGCTTGGACAGTCGACCCTGAGGGAGGAATAGACGGGACGCGCGAGTTGCCGTTGAAAGCACGAGTATAATATCACTCGTCGTCTCGTTGCTCCGTGTACGCATCGTTGTCGATTTTCCTGGTCCCAACTGCGAATCCCTGCACAGCCCCATCTCGGGCTTTGCCGCTGCGCCACACCCTACGATCTCGGTCCCGCCGATAGATGTGGCACACGAGAAAGAGTCGCAACAACTCACCGTAACTCTGCACGGGGACGTAGGACTGCATGTACCTTGTGGCTGGATGACTTATATTCATGGACTTGCAAACTCACGTCTTTGTAATATTTCCGAATCGCCACCTCCGTCCCGTTACTCTAGCCTTCCCGCCATCAGCCGCTCGTACATCACGGCTTCCCGAGCTGAAACTGCTGACGGTCCCAAACCTTCGACTGTCAGGTTACCCCACGTCAAAGCCTTCGATTTCAAGGGTCTCATAGGTGGAGAAGCACATGCTTTCATGAATCTCTCGGCGTACACAGGGTTCCGTTGCACATCTACCCGGGCTACACAAGGTTACCCGAAATGGCTTCCTATAAGTCACAATACCCTCCCCCAAGGAGGACAGAGGACCGGGCGCCAACTACTCGGTTGCCTCAACGATCTGTCACCCCTACCACAACCACCTCACAACTACCCACCCCAGGCCAATCTAAACTGCAAAAGAGGAGGCCTTCAAAGGACGAAGAAGTGAACGCCAAAGTCTCGACGAGTCAACAAGGTCCCGCACAAGCACTTAGCTCGCGTCAAAGGAAGACCAGCCGGTCTACGCCTATGTTCCCTCAACACCCGAGTATCGCAAACTCGAAACCCTCACAACATACATCGACTTCCCGGTTACCAAAGCTTGAAGTTCCTCCAAGCATACGCACACCCTCGCTCGCCTCAGGCTCTTCTGCCTCAACCATCGAGAGTCCTCGTTCGAATGTGCTCAGAAGGAAACAAACAAGTGTTGGGTCTGCAACTGGCAGGCAGGTCACGCGGATAAGAGACGGCTCAATTTCATCCCAAGATGATAGGCAATTAATGGAGGGAATACCCGGAGGATACAAGGATCCTTTCTCTGAGACAGTTCTGGGCATTTCGATACCGCCATCATCCAACATCTTTGCTCGTTCAGAGGCTCAGGTCGATTCCTACAGTAACCCACTCTACGACTATGAGATCGGCCCTACAGACATACTTCCTCTCCCAACACCGCAGTATGCACTCTCAGCGACGCCTTCGTCTCGCTACACGGATTCCCCTGGACCTTTCAGTGTCTCATCAACCCCTACGTCGATGTCGTCTTACTCTCCCGGTACAACGCTATCGAGAGCCTCGAATCGAACACGGCAGGCGAGCCCTCTGCAGAGCAGACCGCCAGTCACCCGACACAAGACTCCGGACGAAGTCAGCACTCGTCATCCCCACACACTCTCCACCGTCAGAGAGTCTTCCACCTCATCATCATCAGCAGCATCCACCGTTGTTACTGATGGCGCGAAACACAAGGACGTCCAGTCACCTAACGGTCTCGCTACTCTGCCACAGAGTCCTCGGACGTCTGATGTGATTCCAAGAGCAGAAGAACGACCTCGCATGCAGGCGCCCCCGGAGTTCGCTCATCTCGCCGATCAGTCGCCCGCGTCCATGCCAACATCAAGGCGACCGTCAAGACCCAGCAGAGATGGTACACCAGAATTATCGGGGCTCCGTGGCCCATCCCCAATCATCCAGAGCAATATGCTCAACTTCCCATCTCAACACAAAAGAACCGCTTCATCGGAATCTAGGAATGGACTTACTGCTGGAAGATCTAAAATTAGCATTCCAGCCAAACCTTCTTCCCGAAATCCCTCGCCGAATCCTTCTTCAACACTGCCAGCAGCTACCAGAGCCCCAGTTCGTGGACCGACACCCGACGTTCAGCAAGATCGAAAGCCACGACGGACCAGCACCGGACCAGCACCAGCACCAGCGCCCGCTCCAAGCCCAAGTAAAACCTCTAGGTTTGGGTTCTTCACGCGTCGTACCAAGACTGAGCCTACCCCAACAGCGAAATCTGAGAGCAAGCTTCACAGAAGAGGGCCAGCTGCAGGCACCGGTCACGA